TCCTCCCCCTCCTGCCGCTCTGCAATGATGTCCCACCTCCTCTGGTACAGTGATCCATTATTGGTATCTATTTTTATTTTTGAAATTTATCGGTAGCTACTGCATTTCCCACCCTAGGCTTATACTCGAGTCAATAACTTTTCCAGTTTTTTGTGGTAAAATTAGGTGCCTCGGCTTATATTCGGGTCGGCCTATACTCAAGTATATACGGTATGTATTTTATTTTTGGTCATAAGACCACCATAAAAGAGAACAAGAAGAGAGAAATTAAATGTAAAAGTAGCTCTTCTTCCCATCATTTTTTGCAATTTTCTTCAAATTACCTTTAGACATGTTAGATTGGCTGCTAGATAAACTAGCCAGCTACTTTTTAGCCTAGTATGTTTTGCAGGCCCAACCAGTATGATTTGTTCATTGTTCAATGAGTGTATGAAGTTTTGTATTAAAGAAAGAAAAAATTCAAAATTGCATGTAATGGCACACAGCTCAAAGAAACTTTTTCATACTTACCAAGAAAACCAGTATTATACTATGGTATTTCCCATAGTCATTATTTTTGTCTTTGAAGATGCGAACAAATAAGGCTTCCAGAGTTTGCAGTTGCTTCCAAAGTTGTTACTTAGACAAATCTTCCATGTACAGCACACTGAATGCCTCGTATTACCGTAGTTGCCTATTAAGGTACTCACTAAACTGGTAGCTTCTCAATTCAGCACCTTATTAATCTTTTTCCAGGCTCATTATAAAATTAGCAAAGACATATTTTTGAATTAGTCTTCTAACTTGAGTGTTAGCTCCAATGACTCATTTGAAAATACTATAAGTAGGACAAAAGGAATCTTAGGCACTTCACCGTAAATAGTAATTTTAGAGGGGGTTACAAAGAATAGCCTGTCTCGTTTCAGCAGCAAAGAAAGACACCTCTGTGTACATGTTCAGATTTAAAAATAAAAAGACACAAGACTCCAGCCAGAGTGACTGGGATGTCTTTTCATCATTCAAGGAAGCCAGTTATGTTTAATACTATATCTCAGCAATCAGGACTGACAGACAGCTGATTATATTTCTACTTTCTAACCAAGCTTGTGGGGAATATATATGGTATATATCCATCCAAGACATCCACTCAGTTTCTGGGAAGCTTAAAGTTCCTTTAAATCCTTGTCTGGAAAACTAACATTCTGACTCCCCTTTAGATGTTGAAATGAATCAGTTTGCTCATACCTTTCAAGATAAAGCATCTTATGAGTCAAGATCAATTCTTGTTATTTTCTTGGCAACTATATGGAAGGGGTTTGCCACTGCTTTGTTCCAGGATATTTTTTCAATTTCTCAATCAGATAGTTTAATTGATGTCCCCGTCTTTCCTCTACATCTTAATCAGGATCTACATTTCTTGGCTTCTTCAAATCAGCCAAAGCCACTTAATTGAGGAAACATGCCATGACAAAGGAACACTATATCTTTGAATGTAAAATAAGAGCAGGCAAACTTGCTGGCCCACAGCAGGCATGCTTTGTTTCCCCTGACTTCAAAAGCCTTCTGGAAGACACATTAGCTGAGCTACTGCCAATAACAATCTATTTTTCCCTTGATATCTATAGGGTCAAGAGGAAAAAAAAAAAAAAAAGCTGACAGAAAGGAAGAGAAAAGGATGACTCTGTTCCTTGGGTAACAATACTACTCCTTTACTGCTCTGACAATTATATAGGTTTTTAACAGAAAGATTGTCCCAATTAAGGCCAACTCAAAATGCAGAAAACACACACAAATGTGATACTGTAAAATGTGCGGTCTTCAGGAGACTAGACATTAAAGTTGTGCAAAACATTACAAGTTCAGAATAGATTGCTTTGAATTCGAAATACTTCTGGAATAGTCAAGAAATCAAAATGACTCTTTTGAACTGTTTTCAGTTATATTTCTAGCCACGGATAATTTGGAGTGGTCAGAAGTTGGAGGAGCATTTTGTGGCAGCTTGGGTTACATCAATGAGTCATCTTTCCATACAAACATTGGCTCCTTTTAGACTACAAATTTAGAGTACTTTACTGAACACATGCAGACTTAAAATTCTTTGCAAGAATGAAAAGAAACTTCTGGAATTACTCAAAGCACTTAAAGGGCCAGGCTTATGTGATTAGATATTTTAGATAATCACACTCTGTTAATAAAAATAAGACATTTTAAATACAGACTAGTTTTTGATAAGTAAAGCTCAGATTCAGAGCCAGAGTTTTATATTTTCACAAACATACCATACAAGCCTTCTGAAAATAACAAGACACACCCTTCTATATTTCATGGCTCACACCACAATATATAGCAATATATAGCATTTCTGAAAAGTGCCTAAATATAAAGACGGATGAAAGAAAATTAGCTGCTAAGGTTTAAATAGCAGCTGTTTTTTGTACAAATGTAAGTGGGCATCTTTAAGAATCAGCTCAAGGCACTTACAGTACAAGTTTCAATAGCTCAAAATATTTTTACATCCAAAGGTTGAATCATTTGACTTGGACCAAGGATTAGCAATTGGTATCATTCAGATGTTTTAAATTACAACTCCTATAATTCCTTTCCACTGATTATGACGTCTGGGTTGATGGGATCTGAAGCCAGAACAATTGGATAGCAACAGATTCATGGAGGATATATGACTGAAATATAGTAAATAACTATCAATACCTGATTTGAAAACTACATCAGCTGTGCCAGAAGCAGCAGTACAGACAGCAAGAAGTCTCTGACCATATTAAGATTGTCTCTGAAGCAACCTTTTCAGCCCAATTTCATTTTGAAATGAGGGGTTCTTGTCTGCAATTGTTATGTGTGTCTTTACCTTGAAAAAAACGCTTGAGAAAAAGTAGAAATTGCTGTTGACCAAACTTGCATAGCATTATCTGTGAAAGTGGAGATTATTATTTGTTGTACAAGATAAGTGAAGAATTTGATTACTGACATCTAAAAATTAAGCTACCTAACTAATTAAATTTTGAGTACACAGGTAGAGTTGTTACCCTATGGCTTCATAAAAGATAAAAACTACATATTTTTCAATGGTGACAAAAACTCAAATTACATATTCCCAGGAGACCTCTAACAGTTTTTGCACATTATATAACCACACACTAATATGGGAGCTTATGCTTGGAATCTTTTTAGTGCCTAATAATGTCTCTGTCTCAAACTAATACTGACAGGTATGGAGAAAATCCTTGTGTTTAGGAGTGGTATACATAGGGAGAGGGGAAAAGTCCCTAAGGATTCTAGTTGATTTAAATAAAAATGCAGATTGAATTATTAGAAAACTAAGAATTGATAGATAAAAGAACCTTATGCTCCTCTATAGAAGAGAGAACTATCCTGAATTTGAGTCAATCTGCCATCTAGTGGTACAGCCACTATACAAAGTCTTAACTAAAAAAGTTACACAATGCGCCCAAAGTCAGTAAGAATTTTTGTTTTATGTTTTGACAATCCCAAAATTCTTATCAGTTTCTATAGCATTTGTTTTAACTGACTTTGATATATCAGTTAACCTTCTGTTTTTGTGTAAGGAAATCATTTCTTGCACAGACCCCAGCATGACTTTGGTAGCCTTGATTACTAATATCTTTACATGATTTAGGATTTCTTGATATGATGAAGGAAAACAACCATATTCCAATGTTAACTATGTGGGTGGCTCAGTGTAAATTACTCCATTGCTAGTGACCTATAACCACACAGACTGCCACCAAAAGACTTTTTGGAAGACAGATTTTAAAAAGCAACATGAAACAACCCTTATTGTGGCACAATTAAGGATGAAATCTATCAGAATCTTTAGTTTCCTTACCTCTAAAAATAGGATAAACCTCAATTTAGGACTGGTCACTTAGAGACCATTTGAAGTTAGGATATGCCTATGTGCGGGCTACCTATGACACAGATTTGGAGTTTCAATGATTGTTTCCTATGGTTACATGATCAAAGAAATACAATTGGGGCTAGTTTACTTCCAGTTTTCAGCAAAACCATGCCCATGGTTTGCTCAATGACTGCAGTGTTCACTTAATGACTATTGCAAAAAGGTCATAAAAATGAGTTGATCACGTGACTTACCTGACTTACAACCATGATGGTCATAAGCCAAGGACCAACTGTATAATGTAGAAAAGAAAGCAAGAGGAAATGAGGTACTAGCTAGTTTTAACTTACAACCAATAACTTAACAATCATTTGAAGTTAGGACACAATGAAAATAAAGTTACTTTCAACCCAAAGTCCTAGACGTTAAGATTGCTGTATCACCCTTTGATCACATGGTTGCATTTTAGGTGCTTGTCAACTGGCACTCATTTTCAACCAGATGCAGAATCCTGCAGTCATATGAACATTTTTTCTTTTTTACCACTTTCTGGCCAAAAAACACTCATTAGATAAGCTGGATTCGGATTCATGACTGCATGAATCTCTTAACATGGCCTTGGTTTAAAACCATGATATCTCACTTAATGACCATCATAAAAATTACTGTAAAATTGAATCTCCACTCAACTTACAATTGCTATGACTTTGCTATGAACCAAAATTCCATCTAGAACTAAATTAGATAACATTGTTTTTCATATAACAGAATAAAGAGTGAAAAGGCCAGGTGACGCCTACTATAAATACTGTATGTATGTATTGCCTGTTTGAAAGGTAGAAAGAACCCGTTGACTGCTTATATTGAAAGATCTTACTAATGTTTTCTCCGGATTAAGTAGGAATTAAATTCAGAACTTTAAAATCTGTATTTCATGTATATTCTGTGTATTTGTGTGTCTATTTTACTAGCACAGGTTAGGTGGATAGGAAGGAATAATACATACAATATATAGGATACAACAAATTCATAAAAATAAAGGAAATTGTGAACTGCAGGGAACACTCAGATAGAAAAAAATAGGTTTGGATACTGCTGTGCATTTGAGAATACCTCCCAATATAACAAAGCTAACCTCGGAAGTTCAGCCCCGCCCCCCCATTTTTGCTTTTCCCAAATATGCCTAAGAAACCACAGCAGTGAAATAATCTTTTAGCAAACTTGCATAAGAACGGTTTGCACAAGGCTCAAATTTCCATGAAAGATACAAGGCTCTACAATTTCTGTTCCTCTTCCGATTGCCCCAGAAGCCTGTATATGCCTTCAGTTATGAAGCAAAATTTATTTGAGTCTCTGCTTCACTCAGCTCAGCTGGAATGCTATCTCCTATCTTAAGTCAACAGAAAACTACACAAGCATGACATTTCTTGCTTCCCCCACTGATTCTTATCTCTACCATCTCTGTTTGGAGTCATTGAAGTTATCTAACTGCTCTCCAAGGTAACAGGTGACAAAGCCCAACAGATTTTATACACTTTGAGGCTGCCTTGGATGGTGTAAGAAAAAGGGGGAAATACTATTTTAACAGATACAGATAACGATGACTTAAGGCTGACTCAGTCATGGGCTAAGGACAAGAAATCCCTGAGGATTTTAACTCCCTAAAAGTTTCCGACATAGGAGATGCTGTTCATCTCCATTTCAAGGCCATTGAATCAGCACTGTCCGAAAGCATTTTCGCAGTCATGTGGCCAGCATGACATCATGGAAGGCTGTTACCTTCCCACTGAAGTTTTATTTATCTACTTGCATTTGCATGCTTTTGAACCGCTAGGTTGGCAGCAACTGGGATAAGGATGGGAGCCTTAGCAACTGACTTGCATGATGGTTTCAATGTCCCAGGGTCATGTGATCACCTTTTGTGATCTTCTGACAAACAAAGTCAACAGGAAGCCTCTCTTAATAACCATGCCACTAATTTAACAAGTGCAGTGATTTACTTAGCAACTGTGGCAAGAAAGGTGGTAAAATGGGGCAAA